GCACAGAACGCATTTCTGTTGGCACTGAGTGCTATCACAGTCATTATTCCCGCATTTGATGCATCGTTTCCTGCTTTTACAGGAGAATTGTGTGTGTCCTAGACGGCCACAGTTAAGACACTGTCTTAGCGGCGGAATATAGAAATCCACTTTCAGCTTAGTGTGCTCAAAAATTATAAACTTTGGAATTTCTTTGCCTTGAAAACCTATCTTAATGGTAGTAGTAGGAGTTAAATTGTTAGATTCTTTTTCCCTTCTGGAGAAACGCATGACTGAACTAATGGGAATTTCCGAGCTTGCATTTGCTTTAATTTCTTCAACACTGTAGTTTGTGGGTATACCCCTTATAACTCCTTGGGTTTCAATTGCTGTTCTTGGAATGAACGCTCTCAGTCCTTTCTGACTCAGTTTCTCATTCAGCAAGACATTGTTTGCGGAGTACAGGTTTTTAAAAGTGACTTTATATAGTGTACGGCCTATCTTGGTTATAAGGTCCATGTCCTTTAATCTATAGCTTTTCAGTTGGTCAAACAATGGGAGACCATTGCTGATTCTACTTTCTTTTAGGTCTTCGCAATTACTTGCATCGATCAATACAAAAATGTCGCCGTAAAAGCCTTGGGGGTATACTAATGTGTCCCCTACTGTATGCAAAGCAGGTGTCGTTATGTTAGTACCCGTCACTGTTTGCTGCACTGCTGTGCTTTTGTCTGTGTCTTTGACTGTATTTAATACACTTGTGTTTGTAGAGCAACTGCCGTTAAGCGACGCGTTGTCTGTTTTCTCACCTATTCTTTCTTCCGCTATTTCAGGAACTGTACCTTCGTCAGCGTCCATATTTTCTAGCTGGGACTGTCCCGTTATTTTCCTAACCTCACAAACTTCACTTATGATACCGCTTTTGCCAAGATTTTTGGCATTTTGTTTTAAGAAGCCAATAATTCTAGCTTCATTTTCCCTCTTCAAACGTTTCCCCCTCGACAGATTTAGATCCGTAAGCGATTCAAAATCCTCCGCCGATGACGCCCTCGACAAGGATGTCGAAGACGCCATTGGGGATTTTGGCTTTTTTGCTGCCGTTCGCGGCAGCCTCGCGTATTTTTACACACAGATGAACACACAAAAAAATTTTCCTCAACACTAAAAATTTGCAAAATACTCACTTTTGGGTCCGGTTTATTTTAAAGATGGCCTTTATGTTGCCGCTTGCCGAAAAAATCCTTAGAAGTTGGCTAAAAGTCAAAGCCACGAACCGCCGTCAAAATTATCACACTATCGTGTGAGCACACTGTTTAATAAATTAGGCAAAAAGACTAAGAACATGTATTCAAACAGTTAGAAGCACTTGTATGTGCTGGCGCCAAAATGTAAAAACCAAAGGGCAGGATAATGCGCAAAACACGTCCACTCACTCTGGAAGATATCGGTCGAATGCGATCGCAAAAATTAGCAAATAAAATACTCGCTTTGTTTTGTTTTGTTGTCAAATTTCTTAGAAATGTGAATTCACCACGATGCGATACAGAAAGAACAAGGACCAGAGATGTAATTTTAAGTAAATCTATTATTCAGTGGCAAGGCGCAGAGCGTTCGGGGCAGCAATATTAATTTGTATCAAATATAACATTAAACGGTGGTTCTAATACATTTTTTGATATTATTAACCAGAGTACATACATTATATGGTATTTCGGAACACATCAAGATAACCAACCGTTCAGCTATAGAAAAACTAAAAATGCAGACCGATAGTACTTTTTACGCTGATTTCAACTATATAAATATTATTTGCCGCGATTAAAAAGTAAAGAAGATGTAAAAGGTTAAAAAAATTTTTGTGATATTTTAAAATAATTATATTTTATAAACTACGTAACCGATTAAAAAAGTAATGATATCAAAATAAAGGCAATTAATCCATCTTTAAGTTCATATATAAAATGCGTTTGCTTGCTTATATATTTAAGCCAAAAATATTAAAAAACAAATAAAATGTTATAATTTTTCATAAAATAACCTTTTTTAGAAAAAAGTGCATAATCAATGCTAAAGACATATATATTATTTAGAAAGTGCAAGTTCTTACCTTTAATTTGATATGCATATTTTATTATGATCTACTTTTGAGGTTTAAGAATTTAGTGATACAAAAAATTAAAAGCATTTACAAGCAAAAGTGACAAATGTGGGTGATATCATAGTTTCTTTTGCCCAGAACTTCTTTCTGCGTAGGCGGCCTTCGGCCGCACTTAGTGATTATAACCCTCACTAAGTAGAATTCTCCTTTCCGTGTTGCTGAAGAAGTGAGGCTGAACACCTTTTACAGAGAACACCTTTCTGCGTAGGCGGCCTTTGGCCGCACTTAGTGATTATAACCCTCACTAAGTAGAATTCTCCTTTCTGTGTTGCCATGAAAGGCGGGGGGGGGGGGGGGGCCACATTTGCATTAATCTTAAGACCGTCCTCACTTTCAAACATTTTATATATTTTAAATAAATTAAGAGTATTCATCTTTTCAAAAAATATTCAAAACACGTTTTTTATCTCCGCCAGAACACAAACAAATGAAAAATAGCTGTAAGTATATACATATATGTACATATAAAACGGCATAAATTTTCCCGCTTCCAACAAAAACAGTACCCTTTCCAAAAAAGTCTGTTAACTCGCCTTGTTTAATTAACTAAAATATCCATTTGCAAATACATGCATTTATATTTTTTATTATCACTGAATTCTGAAAACTCAAAAGCAAATCATAATATAATAAGTATATCAAATCAAAGGTAAGAACTTGCACTTTTTCAATAATATAAATTTTTTTAGCATTGATTATGGACTTTTTCTAAAAAAGGGTTATTTTATGAAAAAATTATGACATTTTTTTGGTTTTATAATATTTTTGGCTTAAATATATAAAAAAAGCATACACATTTTATATATCAGCTTGAAGATAAATTAATTGTCTTTATTTTGACATCATTAGTTTTTAAATCGGTTACGCAGTTTAGAAAATATTAATGTTTTAAAATATCACAATTTTTTTGTTTTACCTCTTATATCTGCTTTGCTTTTTAATTGCGGCAAATAATATTTATATAGTTAAAATCAGCGTAAAAAGTACTAGCAATCTGCATTTTTAGTTTTTCTATAGCTGAACGGTTGGTTATCTTGATGTATGCCGGTATTTATTTCAAAATTAATGTACTATATGAACTTTTTTTTCAAATATTTCTTAAGTTACTTTCATCAGTGCTGAAAAGCAACCATGCGTGTAAGAAATTGTGTGCTACCTAAAATTTCACCTCTGGAAACTTTATCCCCATAAAGGACTTCACCACAGTTTTTTTACTGGATATACTGAGACGATAAATCTCTGCTGAAATCTGCGCACAAGTTAAACACGTTTTCAAGAGTTCCTGACAAATGAATTTATGGCTGCATTTCTTTATTCATTCTGAACGTTTGGAATAAACTTTTTTGTTTATTTATTCTTTAGAACGTTTCTGATGATATGTTGACGTATATTTCAAACGCATTCTGTTTATTCCGGCTGTGAAATGGGATTATCCGGAATGTATAAAGAAACGCACCCAATGGCTGCATTTCTTTATTCATTCTGAACGTTTCGAATAAACTTTTTTGTTTACTTATTCTTTAGAACGTTCCTGATGATATGTTAACGTATATTTCAAACGCATTCTGTTTATTCCGGCTATGAAATGGGATTATCCGGAATGTATAAAGAAACGCAGCCTATATGTCGTGCGTACAAGCATGCATTTTTCCATATTTTGCATTAATGAAAAATAAGCCTTGGGTATGCCCGTTAATAGTGGTTTTAATTCTGATACTTCAGAATCAATTATAACTCTCGAGTTTAGTAAGACGGATAGCTTTTCGTAAGGCAAACAGCAGGGTCACTAAATCTAAAATGGTTTTTAAGAGCATCGAAGCTGATAGCTAACTGAGTTAAACGCTTTGGAGAGGTCCAAAAGGCATAATGGTGTCGAGTGGGTTTTTTTCACGATGTCATTGAAGTACGACTGTCGGAAGAGAACGGCTAAAAATAATCAGAATAAAATTGATCATCTCTTTTTTTTTGCAGACATTTGACCGAGTAGCTTTTGGACAGATAAGTAATATTGCTGCCTCTAATTTATCTACGTTGTTCCTGCAACTGACAGTCGAGGATATGGGTATTTGTGTACCATTAAATCAGCCGGCAAACGTAAGAAAAAATTTACTTTCCAAACCAGATACATATATACTAGCTTATTTTAACTTATTAATGCTGTTTTTAATAGCCCTGGAATACACGAACTTTTCACGACTTCGAAAGCAAAGGCGCTGTCGTCATAACATTGGAGAACACAATCATATCTGCTTGCAATTCCGGTTCATTGGTATCCAAAGGCAAGTTTCAGGGCTTGTGCCTTAGGTTTGCTGACGATTTCGAAACAACCCTCGATGATTGGAAACCTAATGCTAATGAACCTATAATGAACGTGTGCGTCGTTTCTGAAGGGACGTATGAGGTGTGCTCTCGTACCACTGCTGCTAAGAAACTGGAAAATGCCAAATGGTTACTAAATGTTAAGTGGCAAATGGAAGGTGTTGATATACACCTCGATATAAATATAGGGAAACAACTTTCCTCACTCGGTCACACGCTTACGATGTTGACCGGCTTTGAGGAAGAAGATACAAACATGGAATCCCCGGACAGCGATGAGGGTGATCACAGTTGTCGGGATACCTATGTGCGCCGGCGGGAATTTGATAATCTGCCATCGTTCGTGTTCGATCCGACTATCGATTCGAAGAAGCGGTCTTTCATGATGGAAAAAGAAATGGCGGAGCAACTGAAAATTATCAATGATTTGCGCACGCTTGGTGCCTCACACAATACCGTGGCACATGAAGAGCGTCGGTTGCAAGAACTGCAGGCGATTTGTTACAAATATTTCCGACGCGATATGATTCAGAAATGGAAGCGCCCCTCTATGCGTCGTTCAATGAAGACTTCAAGTCGCTCTTATTCCTTTATTGGCGCCTCAGGAAATCGCGAGCCGGCCGATGATACCCTGATGCCTGGACCATATAGCGGTCGTCGTTTAGATCCCATAGCATCTAATGATGAAATTTCCAGTTTGCAAAGCACGCCAGTTTCCGGACATTCAAGAAGTGCTTCGTTGAAAACATGCCCTACCAATCGAGTAACCTTCTCCGAATCCATGCGCCAGACCTCACTGCCAAATGCTGACACGGACAGTGAAGATGTTGATTGGCGCACACAAGAATGTCACGGCGAATCGACGCCAAGTGAAATAGACATAGATGGCACTTCGGTAGAAATGCGTAAAAAGCATGGCTACCAACAAAAACAACAAGAACCCAATATAGATTTTGAGCTAGATATTAAAGTGCTAGTCAATTCTGGCAAATGTGTCCTCCACACCAAAGAGTCCGCCGAAGATCGTTTGATTTTAAGTGGTCCGACAGCAGTGAAGACACATAAACGAGAGCGCAGCCTGGGCAACGACTGGGGCAGTCCGACGCCATCACGGCGGCAGCGCGATAAAAGCAAGTTACGTTATAACACCTCGAGTAACGCAATGTTATCTGATCTCACCATATTCCACATTCCCGGATTGGATGTCAAACTGCACTATCAGTCCCGTACCATAGTTGATTTGTCAGAGCATTCTCGCAGCATGAGCTGCGAAAGTCATCATACAACGCGCCGGATCGGCAGCAAACGGGCTTCGTTGTTCGCCTGGATGACATTGCAGAGTATACCAGAAGAAACTATAATATCGCCACATATATTGGAATTCTTAGAGCAAACCTTGGAACCTATACCTACCAAAACTCCTAACTATACTGGCGCGACTATAGCAAACCCAGTAAACTTGGATATTCTGCCTACAAATTACGTCACCTATGCTTCTTTTCCAGTAGATGTTATTGTCTACTTCCACATGCAACCATCGACTTTCCGCTTCTCTTGCTTGCCCGTGTCGCGTGTGGAATGCATGCTACAGTTGCCAAGTTTAGATATAGTATTCAGCTCCAAACGTTCGAGCGATGAAGATCCAGGTCAGCAGGAACATGCTTTGGATAAAACCTCAACTGAAAAAGATAAAATGCCTGCTGGTGGCCTAAGGTAAGCAGTTATTCAGTTAATTTCTTCAAAAAAGTATAAAGTCATATGTGTGTGTGTTCTGTTTTCGTAGTATTACTGGCTGTTTGGCGGATTTTAATGTTTATATCTTCCACCCATACGGCGGCAAGAAAAGCAATGTCAAAGAAGCACAATTCTCGCCTCTCTCTGATAGTGAACGTAAAGATTCATTGAGCATAAATGTAGAATTTGTAAAATTTCAATTGACCCGTTGCCGCAAAATATACGTTGAGCCAGCTGTTATGAGTAAACGTGTAATGGATAACTCGCTCGCCGTCATACGTTTTTCAACTATTGTTGACATCGGCAGTGCTTCTTTCAAGTACGATATGCGCCGTTTAACCGAAATCTTAGCTTTTCCGAAGGCTTGGTATCGACGTCGCATAGTGCGTCGATTATTCCTTGGCGATTTGAGCATGCAACACATGGCCGGCACAGAGCCTGTCACACCAACTGGTATGCCATCTACGCCTAAAGATGCCAACGGCAACAGTGGCGCTTGTAAGATACCCGGTTACGAATATGCCAGGTCACCTTCGGATGCATTCTATAGCAAAGGCAAAATGCGGCTTGACTTCGATTCCCAATCGTCTACTCCACAGCAGCCAGCACATTCTGGTTCCGTGCGTAAACTACGTTCATTGGAAAAATCATCAAGTGCAGAATCATCAAGCACACCTTCTGAGAAAAATCAAATTACTGCTTGGGAAACACTAGTTCTATTCGCTATAAATTTTACTAAATTGAATGTACAGATGAATATGGGTAATGTAATGGGAAATGTGGTGTGGTTAACTAAGGACTTCCAGTCAGATGGCAGGCTCTCTATTGGCAGCACTGGCTATAAAAATATGTACATTGGCATATATTTGGGTGGCTCTTCACTGGACGCTAAAGGTGGCATCGTCGGTGGTAGCTTTGAAGTGAATAAAATCAATACTCGTTTCCACATTAAGGAAGAATCTGGCGTGGAGCCCTACCACACCATACGTTTGAGTTTTGTGGCTTTGGAGCTACGACTAGACTACATGGGCACATCGGTATTGATGACGCGTATTAGTTCATTTTCGGCCGCGATGAAAGACGAATGGAAGACGTCAATAAATACGCTGTCTACTACAGATTATGGTGGAAGTATGGCCACAGTGGGTGGATATACCACCAAACCTCGAGCTATCATTTTCATACACGGTGATCTATCTTGGGATCAGGTAAATGAGTTTTTAAATTTAATTTTATTTATAAACGAAAAGAAATTAATGGGGGAAGAACAAATTCGTCCGAATTTTACACGCCATTCATCATAACGAAAGACGCAAATTTGTATGCCAATTTATAGAATTGAAAGTTTAGAAATTTTACATTTGTGCATTTTGTTATTGAACAAACTATCGCCATCAACATCAGCTTATAGAAATAAAATTTAAAATCTTTTCATTCTATGCAAAAATTCTCTATACGTTAGACTATATGTATGCATATGCATATAGAAATTAATTTCTTAATTAATTATTTGTATCTACTTATTCATTATTTTTTACTAATTTTTATATAATTGTTCCAGTTTAATCATAGGCAAATCAAATATAAATTTTTAAGAGCTTTTTCTACTATGCGCAACAAATCGACACACTTGTACAATTATAGAAAAGTGGCAACTGTTAACTAGCGCGATTCACGTATACCATGACAAAACTAGGCTGTGTGGGTGGGCCCATCTCACCATATCATATGCTTTATATGCAAGAAAAAACACACAAAAAATATTAAGAATCAACGCAACAAAAGAATAGTAGGAGATCCGACATAGGCACGACCTTCGCCCATCTGTTTAATGGATGAAATCTGCTTTGTATGAAATTTAACGTGTTAGGAAATATTTCGCGAGTGGGTTGTCCGAAAATATCCTGGCCAGGGTATTTTTAATTGGAACAAATGCACAATACTACCAAATCTCGAATTAAAAAAAAAAAAAATAGGATCGATAGAGACCATTGAGGTGAACATAACGGTATATTTATTTTTTTTGGAAAACAACAACTACAACAATTATTAAAGGTCAAAGTTCAAATTAAGCATTTTCTCAAATTAATATTTCTCGAAAACCTCTTCAAGGAATTGGACAATTTTGATGTCATTTGATAGAGAATTTAATTCTCTTTAATTTGATATACATATTTATACATATACCTTTTTATAGTTTTCACGAAAATGGAATTAATGTGGAAAAAAGGTATACAAGGTTTTTGTGTTTAAACACCTTTCTCCGTAGGCGGCCTTCGGCCGCACTTATGGATTATAACCCTCACAAAGTAGAATTCTCTTTCTGTGTTGCGAAGAAAAGGCGCTGAACAC